TACCACCTTTCTGAGTTACCAAAGCTCATAGTTTTAGGATTCTCTCAACTATCTTGGTTTCAATTACTTATTAATAATTACATTTTCTGAACTATTGTGTTTTCAGTTACTTATTAATAATTTGAAAACATATTAACTTGATTCTATTCAAGGTGTATTCCTTGCTACTTCTTATTGCCTGAATGAAATGAATAACATTTCTTTTTATTGTCTTAAAACGGTTCCATTGAACTATTTACTAAGCTGTAGCCCTCCTCTGACTGAACTATAGTCTTCTGTACAGGATGTGTACTAGCTTTTGGTTCTCTGAGATTTATAAATGTTCTTAAATAATTTTATCATACAGCAATCTTTCAGAGAGGCTTTCACAGCTGGATTTCTGAAGATGAAAAGTGTTATCACCATTGGAAAGGTTTTTGTTGGCTATATGGTTTTTATTTTATCCTATTTCAGGCAGTGGTCACTTAGTAAGTGTTGGCATACCAATTTGTGTGATTGAGTGGCTAATTTGCTGTGGAACTTAAGTTTTTGATCTTTCTGTGCTTGTGATTCTTTTTAAACAAAACAAAGAGTTAAGGCAGAATAATTCTGAAGTGCTTTTCTGCTCATGTTTATTATCCAAAAGGTTATCTACAGGCTTCTGAATACCTTGGTGACATGAAGGTGAATATTCAAAAAGTGTTTTTTAGCTACTTTACATACGTGCAGGTGAATATTCCAAACTGTTATTTGGCTTATATTTACATTATTTGAAGAAGAAATATGTTTGAAATGCCATGGTAAGAATACAGTTTGTGAATAATGCTTCCAAAGTTTTTCATCTCTTTTTTTTAGTCTCCTTTGTAGAAATGTTGAAGAGAATGTGACCTTAGAGCTCAAACCAGAGTCTTTTATGTCAAGAAATTTTACTAAAATTGAATAGTAAAGAACATTTCTTTTTTCTTTTTTTTTTTTTTTTTTTTAGTTTCCTAAGTAAATGAAAGGAGCTCTGGAGGCCAAGTAAAGTAAATAAGTCAAACAAATTATGCTGACATGTTTGTTGTTGAGTACCATTGAGTTGGAACCCACGCATAGCTGACCCTCTAGCAGATTTTCAGAGGCAGTTTCTCACACAGGAGGAGACTTCCCATCTTTCTCCCTCAGAGCAGCCAGTGGCTCTGAACTACATGCCTTCAGAATTGCAGCACAAATCTTACCGCTAGGCCACCAGAGCTCCCTTATGTTGACATAGTTCAATAAATAAAAATGAATTAACTTGGAAATTCCTCACAAATAGATAAATATTCCTGAAACGAAAGAATTACTTACTGAAATTAGAGAAATGGTACTGTTGTTGTATACCTTTGAGTTGACACTGATGCAGAGCTGACCCTGCAGTGAGTTTTCAGAGGCAATAAATCACATGGGAAGAGACTTCCCGTCCTTCTCCTGCGTAGCACCTGGAGGATTTGAACAGCAGGCCTTTGGGATTGCAGTGCAACTTTTACCCCTAGGCCACCTGAGCTCCCTAACTGGTACTAACAGTAATTTATAGCTGTGCTAGGTTGAAATTTGTTAAGACATGTCCTCCATGCTCCTGTACCTACTTCTATATCCATCACCAGTCTTACTGCTCTACCAGGTCCAAGATATGTTCCCGTAGTTCACAGACTCCACGGAACTATACTGACACATAGGCATGGTCCTTTCAGAGCATTGGAAACACAGGACTTATCATTGCCTTGGAATCCGCTCAGATGCAGTGGGATTTAGGGCGCAGGTATTATAGTGTATGAAGTATTAGAAATAATCCAGAGCTTATTTAAAGTACATGAGATTATGTGAGTATATAATATGCAACTGTTATGAGCTCTGTTAGCCTGGTGGGAATAGATTTTGTATTGGGGATGTTGTTGTTGTAACCTTTTGTGGAGTTAGTAGAAGTCACACTCTGCTGTCTCCATGCTGCCTACCTTCTTTATACAGAAGTAGAGAAACTCACAAAGATGTTTCTCTTACGTTGGACTAAGGAAAAGTGTTTTGACTGTGTAACTCATAACAGATAATTTAATAATATTACAAAGACTGAGCATTTCAAATCACTTCATTATACTCATATAAATGTGCATGGGCCAGAAGGCCGCTCTTTAAACAAAACAAGGAGATCTTGCCTGGTTTAAAATCAAGAAAGATGTACCTCAGGGCTCTATCCTTTCATTTTAAGTATTCAGTCCATATGCTAAACAAATAAATACAGAAGCTGGACCACGTGAAGAAGAATGTAGCCTTGGTTTTAGAGGATTACTGAAAACAGAGGTCTTGAAACACTGAGAAACAGTAATGCTTACAGCCTTTCTTACAGGTTACATCTCAGCATCGAAAAGCCAAAAATCCCCACAGTTACACCAGTAAGCCGCATCATGATAAATGGAGAAAACTTTGAAGTTATCACAGATTCCTTTCACTTGGATCCACTGTCAGTGCCCACAGAAGCAGCAGTCAAGAAATCAGATTACCTCTTTAAAACATTAAAAAATAAATATTTTGCTTTAAGATTTAAAGTGAGCTTGCCCCACTGTTGTACCGTCAATCATCTGTGTCCATATGAAAACTGGACAATGAATAAGGAAAGCCAAAGAATAATTGGTGCATTCAAATTGGATATTGAAAAGAATATTGATTATGCCAACCCCTGCCACAAGACAAACAAGTCTGTTCTGGAAGAAGGTACCACTTAGACTACTTAGAATAAAGGATGGTAAGAGTTTGTCTCATGCAGTTTGGACATTTTATCATGAGGAACTAATCCTAGGAAGGGACATCATTCTTGTCAAAGTAACTGATGAGCAAAAGAAGCAGCACATCAGTAAGAGGAGTGACACAGTGACAGCAACAGTGGACTGAAACAGAAAGAATTGTGTTGTTCCATTGTGTACAGGGTCTCTGAGTCAGCACCTAACAGCCCTGAGAGACTTAATTCATTTCTTCTGAGTGCTGGATCAAAGATGTTTTATAAATTGGCAGCAAAATGGACTTACATTGTCAGCTATGGCTGTGTCACCAAATTCTGTCCTGTAAACGTTATCATAATGTATATCATAGCTTTGTATGTACCTACTACAATAGTTTGGGGAGGGGGATCTCTCTAACTTGACATAAAGCTACTTGTATCAGGCCAAAGAGAATGCAGTGAAGGTAGTTTCTCATATCTTATCTTTTTAGATTAACTATATTATTACCTGATGACTAGACTTGTGCTACCCAATACAGTAACCACTACTGACATGTGGCTGTTGAGTGCTTGAAAAAAGTCTGGTCTAATTTGAGATATACTATACATGTAAGATGCAAATCAGATTCTCCGGAATAACACAGATAAGTGAAATATTCCTCTAATTTTTATATTGCTTGTATGTTGAAATGATAGCTTTTAATATGAGACTCAATAAAATACTTTGTTAAAATAGTTTTTTTTCTTTTTTCAAGGTGGCTATTAAGAATTTGACATAACATTTTTATAAGTGGTTCGGGTTGTCTTTCTTTTGTATTGTGAGGAAATGAGGGAAGAATCCAGGCGAAAAGACAGTGTAAAGATGAGCAAGGTCCAAGGGTGATTAATTTTGTAAAACACAATACATGAGAATGACTGTATAGAACACAGTGTGAATAAGGAATATGAAATACAGTGTTTATGAACTTTGTAAGCAAACCAATTTAAAAAAAGAATAACTAGAAATATTTCTGATCTCAAAACTTAAGCTAAATTTAATTAACTTTATGAACAGCATTCTGTTTCAAAATACTTGCATAATGTCTTCCTGCATCAGAGGTATTTTTGCTTGAAATCTGAGCTTATTTTGTTTCCTATGCCTTGGAACTCTGGTGGCTTAATGGTAAGGAGTTGCACTGTCAACCCAAAGGCACATGGTTCAAATCCACCAGCTGCTCCACAGTAGGAAGATGGACAGTCTCCTCTTATGCAATTTACTGCCTCTGGAAACCCATTTGAGGGTAAACTAATTTCACTCATTGGTGTACAGCAATACCCAGATTGTCAAATATCTTCCTCCAGCCATTGAGCAATGGTGGTAGACTGGTTAAACACTCAAATGCAACCCAAGCAACTGGCAGTTTAAACCCACTTAGCAATTCCATGGGAGACAGACTTGGTGAACTACTCCTGCAAGTAATGTTTGCAACCTAGAAACCTCTGGGGCAGTTCTGTGTCACATGGGGTCACCGTGAGTCAAAATTGACTTGACAGTACAACAGAAGAACTCTTGGCTGGTTGGCATTCATTTTTGCATGCTTTAACATCTCCAGAGTATTCCTGACTGTTCTTTGATACAGACTAGAATACCAGCAGGAAGCTCTGGTGGCCTAGTGGCAAGGAGCTGTGCCACTAATCCAAAGGCACGTAGTTTGAATCCACCAGTTTCACGGGAGAAAGATGGACAGTCATCCTGGGTAATTTACTGCCTCTGCACTCCCTGGAGGGTCAGCTGTGAGTTCATTCTGACTCAGTGGTACATAACAACGATAGTAACGGTTCTTTGATCCTACTCTGCCTTATCCCATATTGATGTTCCTTTTCTGAATAATTCTGAAGTGTATCTAACACTTGTTTAGGGTGTGCTTTAAAATTAGCTCTAAAAGTGGTATGATTAGATTTTTAGTACGAGTGAAGGTCAAGACATAAGCTCTTTTGTTTCCTCAAATTACAGTTTTCAAGATAAAGATTACCATTTTCAGTGCACAACTTGCTTTTATTGATCGATGATTAGTTCGTACCTCTCTCATAAACTGGAAGTATAATCACTCTTATACAGCTTCCTGTTGTCTTGCTAGATATTACTAATACTGTAAGACATAAACTTATGACTCATGGCATATGTACTTTTTTTTATTAAACCGGTTTTTAAGATGATGATTCAGAGAAAGAAAAAAATTGTAGGACTTCAGTTTAAAAAATGAATCTATTACTCTACCTGTAATCTCCCCTATTGCATTTTATTGTTTAGGATGATGCACGCCAACTCTTCGTGCTTGCTGGTGCAGCTGAAGAAGGTTTTATGACTGCAGAACTTGCTGGAGTCATAAAGAGATTGTGGAAAGATAGTGGTGTACAAGCTTGTTTCAACAGATCCCGAGAATACCAGCTTAATGATTCTGCAGCATAGTAAGTAATGATCATTTCAGAACTTAACTGTTATGAATAATTACTTGCAAGTAAAATATACTTTGAAGTCAGTTTTATTGCAGGCTTGGATGGCACATTCTTGTACATCTGCAGATATTCAGGATGACACTATTTAAAAGCCTCTCGTGTGTGTGTGTGTGTGTGTGTGTGTGTGTGTGTGTAGCCATGGTTTATTTTTTGTGCGTGCTCAGAATTGTCACAGGGGACTGAATTATGTAATTCAGATTGAAACATACCAAATGAGACTCTTAAGTACATTTCCAAGAAAGTAATTGGGGTTTCCCAAAGTTCACTCTGAATTAGGGTGTGTAGGTATTTTGCCTGGGGCTAGACAAATGGGAGAGAAGCTGCCTTGGGGATCCTTTTACTTTGCAATAATTTTTCTTGAGGCAAATTAGTGACCCCTTGACAGATGCTTTGAATAGAGAATTTTTGAAGGGTTACTTGACAATCTCAAAGTTTTTGATTCACTGAGTGAAATAGTTACACATTTTCTGGAGGGTCGATTAAGTTGGTTCCAACTTGACAACATCAACTACAGCAGTGGTTTTCTGAAGAGGTTTGTGGTACAGCAGTTAAGCATCCAGGTCTTAAGCCAAAAGGTTTGCTGTTTGATCCTTTCCAGTGGCTCTGAGGGGAAAAGATCAGGCAGTCATTTCTGTACAGATTACAGCCAAGAAAGCACTACGGACAGTTAGCTCTCTGTCACATCAGCTTCTTAGGAGATGGAATCAACCTGACTGTGTCCAAAACCTCTTTTTTCTTTGGTTGGGGGGACATTCCAGGCCTCCTCAGTCTGTTGGTCATGACCTTTCTCCCTTCTCTCTCTGCGTAGCGTTTAGACGTTTCCTGAGAACAGCTGTCATCCTTGTTCACCATTACATCAGTTTGCTTGTTCTTGACCAGCCTGTTTTTCAAGACTGAAGTAATGGAATTTCTTTCTTCTTTTTTTTTTCCTTCTTCCTACAGAGTGGTTAGAGGGTATCTTGATTCTTGAGGTCTTGGCAGGAATGAAGGGTGTTGGCAGGTTGCCTCTGTTGTTGTAGTTGCTGTTGTATTGCCTCTGACTCCTGCCTGGTCCTGAGTCACCCTCGCTGTGTCTGCCTTGCTGTAACCCAGCACTGCGGTCATGGCATCAGTCTGTCCCTTTAAGGCTCACCACAGTTGGGTCATCCATTTAAGGATCATTCTTTCTGATCACCAATTTACACTTTGAATTTGTCATCAGTTTTTGTCCCCTGTTTTCACCTGTAACTGTCCATTGCTTTTAAGGGACTGTTGGAACTTTAAAGAGTGCTGGTGGCACAGTGATTAAGCGCTTGGCCACTAACTGAAAAGCTGGAGATTCCAACTCCTCAGGGTCTGCATAGGACAAAAGGCTTGGAGATTTGCTCCCATAAAGACATAGAGATGACAGCCAAAGAAAGCCTCTGGGGCAGTTTTGCTTTGCATTATTCAGTTACTGTGAGTCAGAAGCAACTTGGTGGCATCCACCAATTATAGCTACAGAAATTTTAAGCACACTCAAAAAAAAGTATATATGTGTGTAATCAGCATGTTTTAAACAAGAGTAGCTTGCTATTTTGAAGAGTCATGGAGACAGGGAATTAAATGTGCAGGGGCCTGTTTAGGGGAAAGGTGTATTTTTTAAAATCATATTTTCTTGCAATCAGATATAAAGGTATGTATATGGAGTGAGAAAGTACTGGATGCAGAAAAATTCAGAAGCAATACCGTTCTTTAAGTGGAATAATTACAAATAAAGTAGCACAGACCATCATCGGCGTAGTTCATTTTTGCTACACATAAATGTTTCTTGGTTCTAATTTACTATTTAAAATATTCTTGTAAAATAATTCTGTGTTTGAACAGTCTTTCAACTCCAGTCCCCATCCAATAAAATATTCATTTGCTTGTTTGCCTAATTACTCTGAATGTTGATAATACTAGAAAAGTTTCAGAAGATAACATCATTTTAAAATTGCAATATTTTATAAAGATTGAGGCCAAGTTGTATTCAAGATAAAATAAGTTTTCAGAAGTTAAAAAAAAAGAAAAGAAAAAATTGCAATATTTTATGCCTGTGTATACCTGTATTTATTTCCTAAATTGTCTTTGACAAAGGAGTAATATTTAATATTAAGTACTACGTTAGTGTTACAAAATGTTGCAATGATGTTCCTTGTATTCAGTTGACTTTAGTTTTATTTCCTTACTTTTCCATTAAATTTGTATATAGCCAGTTAGTTTTCCTCTTCTTCAAGAAACAGGACCTGACTCTTCCTACATCCAAACTGATTATTGCTTCTCTTGATAAGAATGATTGCTTCTTCCTTCTCTCCGTCTCACACTGCATGTTGTTGCTTACACCACTGACAGTTGATTCATCCTTCTTTGACGACTCAGACCCGTTTTACTATTTGTATATTTACACTTTTTATAATACTATTGACTCTACTATATATTTTGATACAAGACAATTTAATATTGCATGACATGACACCAATATATTTTTATATCATAGATTATGCATAATTATTGGCAAAAAGTATTAAATAAGTGACTAATATCAGTAAGAATAAAATGCAGTGTACCTGAGCATGCTTAGTTCTCAGGTACTAAAAGGCTGATTAAAAAAGAATTCAGTCTAATTCAGCCTTTGACAAGAGATTACCTTACTGTTGTTGTTATGTGCCGTCAAGTACGACCCATAGTGACCCTATGAGAAATAGATCTGTCTGAACCATGTCTTATCCTGTGCCATCCTCATGCTTCCTGGCATGTTAGAATCCATTGTGGCAATCACCATGTCAGTCCACATGGTCAAGGATCTTCCTCTCTTTTGCGGACCCTCAAAAATGAAAAGCTATTTTAATCCTCTTTCAAAGAAGAATTTATGGAACATAAACCGACTGCTACATCAACAGAATATAATGAAGAATTGATAAAAACCAAGTCCATTTGGATTTCTTTTTTTTTTCCATTTAGACATTTTAAGTACACAAAATGGTGTGTAATTAGTCTGAGTGCTTTAAAAATTATTAATAAAGCAAATTACTGATAACAATGGGAATTGTAAGACACTTAATTTGCTCAGGTGAAGTCTATACCTAGACCAAGAAGCTATTGTCCAAGTGAAGCAAGTAAACACTGCCTGGTTTACAATCAGGAATGATGTGCATCAGGGCTGTGTCCTTTTGCCATAATCTATTCAGTCTGTATGCTTAGAAAATAATTTGCAAAGCCCATCTCTGTAAGGAAAAATGTGGTCTCAGGATTGTAGAAGACTCATCAGCAACCTTATGCATGTATATTATACAACTTTGTTGAAAGTGTAGAGGATATGAAATGCTTGCTGCAGAACATCAAGGACTAGTCTTTGGTATGGATTACATCCCAACAGCAGAAAAACAAAGGTCCTCACCACAGGATCAACAGCATTATGATAGATGGAGAAGAGATGAAGGCTGACAATTATTTCATCAGCACCCTTGGTACTAGCAGTCAGGAAACCAGGAGACATTGCATTGGGCAAGGCCGCTGTCTGGACCTTTCCAATATGCTGAAGAGCAGTGATGTCAGTTTGAAGACTGAAGCATGCCTGCTTCAGGCTATGGTCCTCTCAATCACCTACACATCAGAGAGCTAGACAGTGAATAAGAATGACAGAAGGTGAAATGGTGCCTCTGAGTTGTTTGCTGGAGAAGAGGGCCGATAGCCCATGGACTGCCAGAAGAATAGTTCTGTTTTGGAAAAAGTGTGGTCTGAGTGCTCTTGGAGGTAAAGACAGCAGCTTCATCTTTCATGCTTTTCACGTGTAGCTATGCGAGTCTGTTTCTTGAATTTCATGATTGGAAAGATAAGAGGGTCAGAGAAGGAAAGGAGGGTCCCGAACGAAATAGATTGGCATGGTGACTTCAGCAGTAAGCTTAGTGTGGTGAGGGTGACACAGAACAGGGTAGGTTTCAGGTCAGCTGTTCATTCATAGGGTCACTATGAATCTTACTTGACTGGACAATGCCTAACAATGACATCTCTATGAAACAAAATAGATGATACAATAAAATACCAATAGTTTTTATATGTGAATGTCTTGTAAGAGAAGTGCTTAAGTTAGTAATACTGCAACATTACACAGAAATTTTAAAACTTTTACTAATTGAGAATATTACTTACATCAAAGTGTGTTTTATTCTTTGTTTCAGATAATCTGTGTTGCCTGTATTAACTGTGAACATGACTTCTATATTTTTCAGCTATCTGAATGACTTGGACAGAATAGCACAACCAAATTATATCCCAACTCAACAAGATGTTCTCCGAACTAGAGTGAAAACAACAGGGATTGTTGAAACTCACTTTACTTTCAAGGATCTTCATTTTAAGTGAGTGTCTTCAAAATACATGAGTTACGAATTTATATAATAAATGTGTTGCTTTATGAAGAGGTGTAATAGAAAAGTATTAAAAATTTTACATTTAGAAAATTAGAAAAAATATATTCTCAGATTACTCTACAAAAACATGGATAAGAATATTTAAAATTTTATTTAATACCTTGCCTATAGTATTCATAGTCATTTAAATAAAAAATATTTTGGTTTAATTTATAAACAGAAAATATCCTAATGTATATTGGAAAAGTATGGCTGTTGCTTCTAGATAAAAAGGAGATAATTTTACTGAAAGAGTATATAATTATTTATTAAGGTATTAAAAAGAGGGGCACCTTTTCAATATCAAAGTTGAAAGTATTTATTCATAGCATGCTAATGCTTGCACTATTTCATGAGATAAAGTATTTCTTTATGTATAAAGGACATTGGTCCTCTAGAGCCACAGCAAAAATAATGAGGGTTCTATCCTTTAGGAATTTAGAGTTCATTTTACAAGTCCTGTGCCCTCATTTTATAATGAGCCAGGTTCAGGAAGTTCACTTAAATACTATATTCAGAACTACTTTTCTATTTTTTTCAATAATTAAGGGAAAAAAATTAAGAGAAGAAACTCTATACTTAAATGTACAATGTTCATGTTTGTACAGTCCTCGTGGTCCATCGCTTTACTTAATCTGCTTACCCCCGACAAGATGACTGCTCCCTGATTTCAGAGATCAGACCTCTCTTCTATTAAATACTCCATTTATTAATTACATTAAGTATATATTTTTCTTCACGAATTCTCTTCACCTATTTCAAGTTAAGTACTAAAGTAATAAAAATGGTATTCTGTATTGAATATATACAGAAGATAATTTAACCTCATGAAGTATTCTGTTTAAAGAAAATTTATTTCCATAGACATCCCAGAACTCTAAAGTATTACTTGATGTTAAAAAGTACTGACTCCAGGGAAAAAAAGTACAAACATTTCTTTTTTTCCCCATTAATATTATTTTCTTAAGGATATGATGCTAAGTAGAGCACTGGTAGAATTTGCCTTTTAAAAGTGACTGGCTTCCTAATGATGCAGACCACAGGGAGTTACTCTGTTACCCCAGAGACCTTGCTTCTCTGGTACTTTGAACCTACCATTGGCTCTGAAGGAGAATGGTGGATGTCTCCTCCCATATTTCTCTCTATTTACAGCCTTGGAATTCCAAAGGAGGGTCAGTTTTGACTTGGTTCAGGTTTGATAGCAATGAGTTTGAGTTGTTGATTTTTAAATTTTGTTTTGTTTTGCTGTATTTGCTGGCTCAGCAGAAGGGACACACTACAAAAACCTCACTGAGAGTCAGTGCCCATTTTATGCAATCCTTATAAGGTCATATTCAGATTATATTAAAACTCACACATTCCTGATGCCAAATGCAAGTTCAGAGGCATCTTTGGAAATTACTGGTTTTTAATCTGACAGGGTTGATAATTAGAAAAGTTACAGCTAAAACATAGGAGTAAAGCAGATGACATCTTACATGTGTAGAGCTTTATAATGCTAACTCAAATTGACAAAACTCTGGTTGTCAAGGCAGATAATTGGTTTAGAAAAAGAAATTTTATTTTATAAAGACTAGTAATTTTACAATCTAAGCTTATATCAACATTTTTTATATACTGCAAGAGATAAGTCATTTGTTGCCTTTATATTTTTGTCAGACCAAGTCTACTTGAAGGTTTGGTTTCTTTATAAAATTTAAAATTTGATGAGCTGTGTATATTTTACCTTGAGGCCTTTAACCTGTAACTCCATCATCACAACACCAGAAAGATAGAATAAAAAAAATAAATATTCTAAGAGCCCATTGTCTTCAAGTTGATTCCAAATCATGGTGTCATTGGGTTTATGAGATTGTAAATTTTTATGACAGCAGACTGTCCATCTTTCTTCTTAAATCAGCTGGTACATTCAGACTTTCAGCTTAGCATTTAACAGCCCTGAACATTACACATTATTCCTCCAACGTGCCTTATAAAAACAAGACTCTAAATAGCTATAAATAAGTATTGATAACCAATCTTTCTCTCTCCCCTCTCTTTCTCTGTGTGTGTATGTGTGTATATATGTATGTATAGAGAGATTATATAAATACATCCAACTATTAATCCATTTAATTACTTCTAAATTTATCAAAATTTTATCTTCATTTGTCCTGTAAATGGAGTATCCCACATTGCTATTACAATTTTTTTATCTTTGCTCTGTTGCTTTGAATTACATTCATTGATAACAGTAATCATCTTACATGAAGTTATGTACCAGTTAAGTCAGAACCAACTCATCCTCAGGTGGGTTCTCTGAGGCAGTAAATCACACAGGATGATAGTGCCCATCTTTCTCCCACTAAAACTATAAGATGATTATAATTATTAAAAATAAGTATTTATTTCTGTGTTGAAATAATTAATGTCTTACTCTTTTTTTTAATGTCTTACTCTTACCAGTGTATTCTAAGAAGATACATTTTGTGATGTTTCATAAAATTGAATAAGTGAGCAAACCTAAGATTCTTAACACAGAGAATATTTCAGTCCTATGTTTTACCAAAGTTTTAAAGCTATAGTAAGACAATGTTATGTCAGTTATTTGATACTTAAGAATACATAGTATGTAACTATGTATTCTCTTTTAATCTTGGTTAGATTGACTCTTAAACATTTTCTGCATGGCCGTACTTTACACAACCAGCCTATATTTCTCAAAGTTAGCATTTCTACATCAAGCCGGTACCTCAGTATTTCAGTAAAGTAAGCTCCCACCAGGATCCTTCTAGGAAGTCCATCTCTGTTGCTCCTTTTGGTCTCCTTAAATGAGGTGGAATTTTATGGGATGTATGTAGTTACTGTTTTCTCCTGGCTAACTTAAGGATAAACATAGGTTTGTCAGGAACTTTAGATATAAACATTATCTTTTTAGGTTTTAATTCTGTTGAATTACTATACTTGAAGCTTTATGCTTGAAACTTTGTTCTTTTTATATATTAAGTGAGGTTCCCATGGATTACATAGACTTAGAATAATTCTACTTTGAAAGCAAGAGAGTTTCATATTTTGAAGTTCTATCTTTTATGTTTGAATTCTCTTTATAATCTGTAACAGCTAACATAAAAATACCCGTTTCCTAAAAGAAATACTTAATAACCAACACTTCTTTTTTACCATGAAAATTTTGCCAGATGTAGAGTTCATGCATTTCTTCTTGCCATGTATAATTTTAAAACCATCATCCTATTATGACAGATTTTTATTTTTTTATTTTTGGGAGCAGGTATGGCATCCACTTCCTAAACAACATGCCTTTGGAAATTCTGTGAACTTTGATAAATGACAATAGGTATAGAAAAGCTTCAGGCCTTTTGTTCATAGAGTCGTGCTCAACTTGAGGCAATCAATAACAACAACATGGAAGTATGCATGTTTAATAATTTGGGGTGCAATCTCATTTATGAATCTTGATACCCATGTTTGTCATTTAGCTTTGTACCGGTCAGTCTTGGTGGTGAAAGATATTAGGTGACAGACTGAAGATAAGTGAGCACATGGTAGGATCTCTAGCCTCTTCCTTCCCACACCAAAATAATCCTAAGGAAATTCAGATGGCACTCGACATTTGCTACTTGTTTAGACTAGTGTCATTTATCCCTATGAAGAAACACATACTTTAAAAAAATGTAAAAAGAGGTTCATAATTTAAGGTTATAATGTCCTGTTGGATAAGGATCAGCAGTCTCCTATGTGATTTGTTGTTGTTATTTGTTGTTGTTATGTGCCGTCGAGTCGCTTGCAACTCATAGCGACCCTATGTACAACAGCCCTAAACCCTGCTCTATTCTGTGTCAGTCTCATTGCCTCTGACACACCCATCCCGATTACCCCAGTCACTGAATCAATCCACCTCATAGAGGGTCTTCCCCTCCTGCACTGTCCCTCCACTCTGCCCAGCATGATGTCCCTCTCTAAAGACCTGTCTCTCCTTACAGCATGTCCAAAGTATGTCAGACGAAGCCCCAGAATCCTTGCCTCCAAGGAGCAGCCTGGTTTAACCCTCTCTAGGATGAATCTATTTGTTTTCTTGGCAGTCCATGGTACATTCAATATTTTTCTCCCGCACCACAGCTCAAAGGCATCAATTCTCCTTCTATCCTCCCTAGTCATTGTCCAACTCTCTGATGCCTAACAAGTGATTGCAAAAACCATGGCCTGTATCAGGCGCACCTTAGTCTCCAGAGAGATACTGTTGCTCTTGAGTACTTTAGAGAGGTCCCTAACCGCAGACTTTCCCATCGCAATACGCTTTTTGATTTCCTGACTGCTGGTGCCACAGTGTTGACTGTGGAGCTGAGCAAACTGAAGCTGTGAACAATCTCAATCTCTTCACCATCCATCCTGATGCTACCGATTGGTCCATTGGTGAAACCTGTGTGATTTACAGCCTCTGAAAACCCTATAGAGGATCAGCTAGGGTTGGTTCCAACTTGGTGGTACATGACAACACCATATAAAATAATTAAGACTTTTAAAAGTATGTGTGAAAACAACAACTTTGAGAGAGGAAGATGAGCTGTCTCCTCCCCTGCCTCCAGAGACCCACTGGAGGCTCAGTGATGGGTCATTAAATTTTGATGTGACAGCACTGAGTTTTGTGGTGGTGTATTTTGTTTTGTTTGCATTTTTGTTGTTATTTTGTCTTTGTGGGGATTTGTTGTTGTTGTTGTTTTATTGTGTGTGTGGTTTTTTAAGGTATATAAAATAATAACTGTTGTCTGCTGTCTAATAGTTTTTCAAGAAGAAAACAATAGTGAAATTAGTGTTATAGTTCATTGTTACATCTTTCCTCTCTCTACATTCAGACAGTACAAATCACAGTGTAGCCGTTTGTCCCAGTCTTTTTTATCTCTTGGTTTATGGATTGAACCAACTGTATCAATATCACCTACCCTGTGGATTCTCATACACTCTGAAGTATGAGAACCATCTGAGTAGACTGGAAGGTATGGTTGGGTTCTTTAAATCATCAGTATAGTTCAGTTCATAAATCAAGTAAATGAAATGGAAGCCATTTATTCCATAGTGGAATTACTTGATTATCAAGCTGAAGTTCTGTTATAGATAACCATATACCTGGTAGATCTTGATTATTTTTTTTTAACATAGCTGAGGAGGGGATATATGTTGCATAAGTCTGTTAAAATTTTCTCTCCATTCAATGGACACTTTCCGTACATTTACTCAATCAGTATTCACTATGTACTTAGAGATATAAAGTGAATAAAAACAAACCTTCCAGTTGATCCCAACTTCCGGGGGCACCATGTGTACAGAATAGGACTGTGCATCGCGGGGTTTTCAAGATGACCTTTTGGAAGCCGATCAGTAGGGAGCTCTGGTGGCTCAGTGGTGAAGAGCTCTGCTGCCACCCCAAAGGCACACTGTTCGAGTCCACCAGGTATTCCATGGGAAATAGAAGAGCAATCTCCTCCCATGTGATTAACTGCCTCTAAAAGTCCACTGGTGGGTCAGCTGTGGGTCAGTCTTGGCCTGTGACATTTACAGCCTCTGAAAACCTGCAGGGAGGTTCCAACTCATACACAACAACAGCAATCCATAGGTTCAGTTAGTAGTTAATCACTGAACCATTTGTTCAGCCTATGCACTCATAATATGAAAAAGGCCTTCCCTTGGCTTTCTTGGGGTGGGGCCAAGGTGGGGGAGAGGAAATGGAATTTTTAAAAAACATATTATATTGGCAATAAGGACTATGGGGAAGAATTAAATCATATTAGAAGAGGAAATGGGATGTGATGTGAGTTACTTTACATTGAATGATCTGAGTAATAATGAAGTTTGAAGAGAGACATCTAGAATATGCTATATTAAAAGTTATGCTATAATAAAAGTTATTTTAGTGAACAAAAACTGTGGGAAAAAAATGAATAATCATTTTCATGTCCCCCTGTGTCCTTGTTTGATCTTTATCAGCCATCATTTTTATTATCATGCTCATTTTTATTTACTAGGTGGGGGAATCTTTTTTTATATATAGCACACTTAAAACTTAATGAACAGTCTACTAGTGGTACCAGTAGAATGAAGGCCACTTAAAGGATGCTAAAAGTAACAACACTAGTTTATGTACTTGGATTTGCTTTATAGGCCAATATTGCTCTGTAGGGAGAATTCTTTTTGCCTGAGAATTATACAGGGACTATTTTAATTAGTGTACTATCTAGATAAATGGAGCCTTTAAAAATGTACTAGTTTGCATAGTGTTTCAGTTATATAACTGGTTATTACTAAATTACATAATGTAATCTATACAAATGTCAACTTTTGCTTAACTTTATAAGCTTGTGTAAGAAAAAGAAGTAGCAGCAATCTTGATACCATGTTTATTTTGCCATTACACTGTTCATTAAACTACAATGGTTTCACATTATAAATTATCTAAAAATGGGATTTTTCTTTTTCACTCTGAGTCTCAGGGCTTTTCAAAGAACCACCTATTTCATATTTTTCTTTTTTTCTGTTCTATAGCTTTACTTTTTAATTTATGCAAACCTTTTGTTATCTCTCTGAATTTTAGTTTTCTTACCTGAAGTGGCTTTTCTTTTATGTCAGACCGCAGGTCATTGCTTCTGAAAACACCATTTTTTTAGTGGATGAGGGAGCTGTGTCCTCTGCTGCTAATGTTCCATGACTTTGGCAAATTGCATATACTCTGTTATCTATCTGAATTCCCTGGTTACTTCATGTGACTTCTTGGTGTTCACACAAAGCTTGCAGGCCATTCATTTATACTTGTTTTTATAAGCTATCCTTTCCAATTAAAAAAAAAAACTAATGTAAAAAAAATTAACAAAGCAGAAACAGCAGTTTTTCTTTCTCATTGTGAGAACAATTTATGACATTGGGTCCCCCCCATTTTTTTCCTTCCCATCCCACATTCTCCCAGCACTTTGGAGCTATTTTGTTGACATTACAGAACTCCTCAGAGCTTTTGAATGCATTTAATATGATGTCAACTCATTGTTTTTCCTCTTCCAGAATGTTTGATGTGGGAGGACAGAGATCTGAACGGAAGAAGTGGATCCATTGCTTTGAAGGAGTGACTGCAATTATCTTCTGTGTAGCACTTAGTGACTATGACCTGGTTCTAGCTGAAGACGAAGAAATGGCAAGTAGAACCACTTGATAGTGATTGAGCATGAAATTCAGAGAGTGGAGACCATGCCCAGAATTCTCGAGTTCAGCCTCTTTCCTTTCATTTTAAGATTTGCATACTAAAAGGGAAATCTTATCTGTCTAGCACAGATGGATCCTGAGAAAAGGGACAAGACTGAGAACTAGTTTTGTTCTTGTACTTCTGTGAATGGCTGTTTTTCCTATAGCTTTTATCTACCTCATGAGTGAAAAGAAAGTTGGTTTCATAGTAGTCCAAGGCTCATTTCTCTTAACTTATTACTTCTGTCAGCTCAGTCATCTTTTATATCCATTATGCTCTGCTACTGCCATGTAGTTTTCAAATACGTGGAATGTACTGTAATTCAAAGTTAGTTCTTTTTAAATAGTAGCGTAAAACGTTATGATTTTTAGATTAATTGTAATACAAATTGATAGGGGAAAGGAGGCAGAAATGCCAGTGAAGTGTTTCTAAAATCAGATCCACGCCACTGTCCACTTCCCTTTTTTGGCACTGTGAAATACAGCAGTGCTGTGCTCGCTCCGAAACCACAGAAACGTAAAGGTCAGGAAACAAACTGGAAGCCTCCTTTCCTGGTTTTCCTTCTGTTGAGGCTGTTGGGGTAATTAGAGTCCTGCTTCTTCTATTTTCATATTCTCTCATTATATTTTAATAGAAACTTCTATAAACTCCATAATAATCGTGTAACTTTTCCAGTGTTCATACTGGGCATTCCTATATTTTAAATTCCTAACACAGGATTTAAACACCCCAGACACTGCCCGTGACTCAGAGAAGGAATCCAGCAAGTACTGGTTGAATGCAAAAAGAAATGAGTGATGATTAGATAGTCATGTTATCTAAAAAAATTGCCTATTTTGAAATTGTAGAGATTAATTTTTGTAGTCTTTACTAAACTCCATTTCTTTAGGACACCCATAATATTTTTTAAAAATATTTTTATTGATTTTCATATAATAATATGTGTTGCTTTTATATACATTGTTTTGTACAATTTTTAATTTACATTGTGTTTCATACAATCATTCATATACATTCTGTTTTACATTATTTTTGTACTAGTTTATTTACAAAATTTGAATATATTTTCACACCAGATCCTTCTCTTTTCCCTCACCCTCCCTATTAAATTGTAAAACTCCATGATTAATCTCCCCACCCCACTGTATATCCTCATCCCTCTGCTTCCACACCTCACCCCACCTTGGATCCTCATATTCATTGTACAATAATGGTTTTATACATAGTATTTGACCTTGTGGGACTGAGTTAATTCATTCAGCATAATGCTCTCCAGTCCCTCCCAAGTTAGGTAATAATTTACAAAATCGTTGCTCCTGCATGCTGTGTAGTATTCCATTGTGTGACTGTACAATAATTTCTCAATCCATTCGGTTGTGTTTGGACATCTAGGCTGTTTCCATGTTCTTGTGATGTGAATAACTCTGCTGTGATCATTTGTGGACAAGTCTCTGTTTGTATCTCAGTTCTCATTTTATCAGAGTATATTCCAAGCAGTGGAATAGCTGGGTCATATGAAATGTCTATGTTCAGCTTTTTGAGAAAGTACCAAACTGCCTTCCAGAGTGGTTGTACCATTTTACGATCCCACCAGCAATGGAAAAAAGTTCCTATCTCACCACATCCTCCCCAACATTTATTACTTGCTGTCCTGTTAAACTTTGCCACTGCTACTGAAGTGAGATGGTATCTCATTGTGGTTTTGATTTACATCTCTCTTACTGCCAGTGATTTTGGACACTAATGATATTTTTAAATGTAATGGACAATCCTTACTATTAATGACTGGTTGTATTCTTTTCTATTACAGAATCGAATGCATGAAAGCATGAAGTTATTTGACAGCATATGTAACAACAAATGGTTTACAGATACATCTATTATACTTTTTCTAAACAAGAAGGACCTCTTTGAAGAAAAAATCAAGAAGAGCCCTCTTACTATATGCTATCCAGAATATGGAGGTATTTTACATCCTGTGGAAAGTTTGTGAATCATAAATTTCTAAGTGAAAGTTTCCTTAGTGCATTATAGTGTGTGTTGATTTTGATCTCTTAGCTCAGTATTCCTTACGTTTAAGGAAAATTATTTATGAAATTATGTTCAAGCCCAATGCCTAAGATTTTCAAAGGTAAATATTTATTTAAATATTAGTGTATTCATTTAGTTAGTATATTCTACATCGATAGTTGTATACTGAAAAAAATAACTGAATGAATAAGCTAATATTTTACATATGCAAAGACTTTAAGCCATTATTGAAAATTACCTATAGTTTTCATAAAATTAGTTTTGTTGTATTCAGCTATTTGGAACCCAAGGAATTACCTTTGAAAATCTTATGGCTTCTACTGGCTGATAAGTGATAAACTTACCGAAAAATAAAAGGTAACAATGTAACAGGCTCCTGTACTTCTAAAATACTGCTGAGGAGTAGGAAGCTGAGTCACCACTTTTCTACTGTTGGCTCTTCAGTATTAAACAACTCTTAATTTACTTACTTCTCTATATCCATCTATAAAACATTCTCTTTGGGTTAGTGTAGTTTCTTGGATTATGTCCTAGGCTTCTGTAAAAGGATGAGTCTGGAAAACACACGACTTCTGTTTCAAGCCCTTTCCCACATTACAGCCTGTTCTCTCATAATGTAAAGTAACTAAACCTTCATCTCTTTTTCTATATTAGACACTGAGTATGAGTTTATTTAATAAGGAGAGCTCTCTGGGTTTATTGCCACTGGGTTATATGACCTCTAAATGTGAATATCATGCTTGGGGAGGTTGAGGGTCACAGAAGGAGAAGAAGAGATGGATTGATTCACTGACTATATCACTGTACAGAAAGGCAATTGATGGGGGGGGGCGGGGAAGAAGAACGAACTGGGGAGGAGGGTAGAGAAAACAGTGCAACAATGAATGAATGAAGACCCAAAATCTCTGTAAATGTTCATTAGAACTAATAAAATTTAATAATATTTTTTTTTTAAAAAAGGCGATTGATTGTAAGGATGGTGCAGGACCAGGACGGTTTAAATGTGTTGTACATAGGGTCACTGTGAACCAGAATCAACTGAATGACATCTAACAATTTCAACATTAAGAAAGGTTCAGTCAGTTCTGCTAATAGATACAAATTGTTGATATTCACCAAAAAGAAGTCTCTAAAATTTTCGTTTCTGAGCTATTTATAGTCAATCTATTAAGCAAATCTTCCAACAACCAGTGTTCTTAAAGCTACTGTCTTGATGATGACGTGACAGAGTCTAAATCTAGACCCAGGCTTTGGACTCTTGCTCACACCATCACAAACGGGCTCCCTTTACTTGGATTCTCGTTGGATTAAAAGAAGGAAAGCTTTCTGTAATAAATAATCTTGATAGTTACTATTCTAACGCTTTAAGGGCATTGCAAAGTTATACTTCAGAATAATTTCACAGAGTTGCTTATTTTAAATTTTTGTTCTTTCTGAAAGTCTTAGTATCTTAAGCCGTCTTATTCAGAACCATTTTAAATGTGTATTGAGAATAAAATTTCTACTTTATTTATAGTTCTGTCACTATAGTTCTCATCCCAAGCTTGAAGTTATCCAAAGACAAACTGGCTCAAACTTGTCCTTATTTGAGACTGTCTTTCAGTTTATTTTTGTCCTCCGTTATAAAATAGCCATTTTGTACTAATTAATATTACCTAAGTCTCCAAATGAATCTATAAATAATACACACCTCTAGGGATTTCAGAGCAATCAAGAATAGACTTGTCAGCTCTTTCCCCGCTGGGTGTATAGTGTGGTCAAGATTTGTCATAATCTTCTGTTGTCATTATCTTTTGTCTTGGAATCTGCACAAAAAGTAGGGTATAGAACCCTTTCATGGCTCTACTATTAACATTTTAATTAAATTCCCATTGTATGCCTAAGTTTCCACCAGATGCCTCTTACTTCAATCTCAACTCTCATTTCCAGTGGCAGCACTTCCTGGAGAAGAACTTTGTGTCCAGACTGCATGCCTGGTGTATCTTCTGCCTCTGTCTGTTTCTGTTCATGTTTCCTGTTCCCCTTCCTTTTCTCTTTGCATTGACATTATGTCAGATACTGTTTTCAGTCCTATACTCTTAGCATTCTGTCCTTTCCTAGTCATATTTATGCTATGTTAAATTCTTAAATATCATTTTGCAAATGTCACATGGCTCTTGCCTGAAAACAGAGACTACCTTAAAGATGTTAACTTGTGTTTTGTTGACTGTGAAAGCAATCATAGGGATCAAAATAAATTATGGATAACATTGAGAAGAATGGTAATTCCAGAACACTTAATTGTGCTCATGTGAATGCTGTACACAAATCAGAAAGCAGTATCTGGAATAGATCAAGGGGATAGTGAGTGGTTTAAAATCAGTAAAGTTGTGTGTCAGAGCTGAATCCCTTCACTATCCTATTCTATATGTATGCTGAGCAAATAGAATTTGGACTATCTATGTGAAGAAGAAGAATGTGCCTTCAGGATTGGAGGAAGATGAAATACTGCATTATGCAGATGATATAACCTTTTTGCTCAACACTAAGAAGTTCAAAGATGTCTGCTCTCAGTATAGGTTATATCTCTATAGCAAGAAAACAGAATCCTCACAACTAGACCAATAGGTAACATCATGGTAGAAAGAGGAAAAATTTTAAGTTGTCCCCAGCGTTGGAACCAACAGTTAAGAAATCAAAGGACATACTCCATTAGGGAAATTTGCTCTCAATAATTAAAAAAAAAAACAAAACAACAAAACAAAAACCAAAGAGCATAGAATTAAAAACCAAGATGTCTTTGACCTAAGCCATAGTTACTTGATAAACTTATGAAATAGGAACAGTGAAATAAAAAGACTGAAAATTTTATGCCTTTGAATTTTGTGATAAAAAGTATTGAATATAGTGTGGACTACTAAAAGAAACAAATCTGTCTTGGAAGTACCAACCAGATATCTTCTTAGAAGAAGGGTGGTAAGACTTTATCTCATATGCTTTGGGCTTGTTGTGAAGAGGGAGCTGTCCCTGGAAGGAGACGTTATGCTTGACAATGGGAAAGTTATAGGAGAGGAACATACACACACGCACATGGATTGACACAGTTATGGCAACAGTGGGGCTAAACACAATGGAGATTGTGAGGAGAGGGCAAGATCGGACAAGGTTTAGAGTGGCATACCAATTGATGTAGAAGCAGCCCTCGATGTGCTCAACAATTTGTGCCAAGAAATCTGGAAGACAACCATCTGTCCAACTGACTGGAAGAGATCGATATATGTTCCCATTCCAAAGAAAGGTGACCCAACAGAATGCGGAAATTATCAAACAATATCATTGATATCCCATGCAAGCAAGATTCTGTTGAAGTTTATCAAAAAAGGACTGGAATGGCACATCAGCAGAGAACTGCTTGAAGTGTAGGCTGGGTTTAGAGGAGGGCGTGGCTCTAGGGATATTGTAGCTAATGTTAGATGGATTTTGGCTGAAAGCAGGGAGTACCAGAGGAAGGTCTATTGGTGTTTCATTGACTGTACAAAGACATTTGACTTTGTGGATCACAACAAACTATGGCTGACTCTGAGAAGAATGGAAATCCCAGAACACTTGACAGTGCCTATATGAAGCCTATACTTGGACCAGGAGGCAGTTGTCATAACAGAGCAAGGATACACTGCATGGTTTAAAATTGGGAAGGGTATATGCCAGTGATGTATTCTATTTCCATACCTTTTCAATCTGTATGTGGAACAGATTATCTGCAAGGCTGGTGGGCTCTATGAGGAGAAATGTGGCATCAGGATTGGAGGTAGACTCATCAACAATCTACATGATGCAGATGACACAACCCTGCTTGCTGAAATGGAGGGGAGGACCTGAAGTGCTTGCTGCAGAAGGACAAGTACTGCAACCTTCAATATGGACTGAAGCTCAACATCAAGAACACAAAGATTCTTACCACTGGGCCGATTGGCACCGTCATGATAGATGGTGAAAAGATTAAGATTGTTAATAGCTTTCGTTTATAGTCGTGTTACTAGGGATATTATAGCTAATGTTAGATGGATCTTGGCAGAAAGCCAGAAGAATGTCTGTCTGTGCTCCATTGACTAACCAAAGGCTTTTGACTGTATAGATCACAACAAGCTATGGCTGACTCTGAGAAGAATGGAAATCCCAGAACATTTGATTGTGCTTATGTGAAACCTATACTTGGGGGGAGCTCTGGTGGCCTAGTGGCAAGGAGCTGCAACTACAATCCCAGAGGCACACGGTTTGAAGCCACCAGATGCTCTGCCGGGAAAAGGAGGGACAATCTCCTCCTGTACCAGTCAGATCTGATTTGATGGTACACTCAAACACACACACAAAAAAAAAAGAAAAGAAAAAGTAACCTATACTTGGGCCAAGAGGCAGTCGTCAGAACAGAGCAGAGAGACACTGGATGGTTCAAAATCAAGAAAGGGGTCCGTCAGGGATGTATTTTGTCTCCATACCTTTTCACTCTGTATGCAGAACAAATCATCTGAGATGCTGGGCTGTATAAGGAGGAATGTGGCATCAGGATTGGTGGAAGAATCATCAACAACCTGCGTTATGCAGTAGACACAACCCTGCTTGCTGAAACTGAGGAGGACCTGAAGCGCTTGCTGCAGAAGGTTAAAGACTGCAGTCTTCAATATGGGTTGAAGCTCAACATCAAGAAAACAATTCTCACCACTGGGCCAATTGGCAGCATCAGTATGCATGGTGAAGAGATTAAGATAGTTAACAGTTTTAGTTTGCTTGGCTCCACAGTCAACACTCTTGCCAACAGCAGCCAGGAAATTAGGAGACGAATTGCATTGGAAAGTCAGCTGTGAGGGACCTCTTAAGAGTACTGAAGAGCAGTGATGTCAGGCTGGAGACTAAGGTGTGCCTGATCCACATCTTGAAAGGGGACGAGACATTTGCC